ATACATAAAACCTGTCTTGTAAATTTGAACAGTTTCAGTGATCTGACTGTCTGTAGTAATGTATCGAATGTAAATAATTAAGTAATTGATGTATTCTTTGTATTCTTCGTGTTCTGATGGTCTCAATTACGAATCTGAAATCGAATGTATCAGTTGCATCAGCATAACCTACATTTTTTTTGACTGAAAAATCAAAACACAGAAGTTTTAATGTTACCTTAATTCGGCAAATGAAAAAAAAGTATATAAAAGCTTTTTCAAAATGAAACATAACAAAAAAATATCAGCCGTCGTTCCGTCAGCAGCGGGAGAGGGTGGGAGTAAATCAATGAAAATTGAGGAAAGAGCGCGAAATCAATTGCCCCCCCCTCTCTTTTCTCTTTCTCTTCTTTTTTCTCCATCCCCCAGAACGTTCTTTTCTCTCTCTCTTTATCCCATGATGTCGGGGAAGAGCAAGAGCAGTGGATGCTAGCAAAGATAGAAAAATAGCATCATTGTTTTCCTACAAGAAGGATTCATCTTCCGTTATCAAAGATTGCATAATACTTTACTATTCTCACATTCCTCAACATCTCTGATTAACGGTAGAGGGCGAGGTTTTCTTGTCATGCGCGGAAGCTAACTGTAATCGCTGGTAAAAACAAAGAGTTCGTGGAGTAGTGGGTACTTTATCGCTGAATAGTGAGCAGAAGAATATCGCGTCTTTTTCTTCCTCATCTTTCTTTTTTTCAATCCTTTAATTTCTTGGCACATTTAGTTATTTTCATGGCTGTTTCAGTTCGTACTTTGAACTCGCAGTTCAGGTGTCGGCTGTGAATGAATGGCATACTTCGCAGAAGAAGAGTTTTGATGTAATTGGAGGATGCAAAGGATTAGGTTTTCCTCTTCATCTGAGCAACGAGGAGATGCCAGTAGAATCAAACTTAAAAGTGAGATTTATTTCGTATTAAGTTCTTTTATATTTATTCCATATTAAAAAAAGAATTTCTTTCATTATTTCTAAAAAGAATGAAGGATTAGTTTTTTTTTTAGAATAAATTAGTTTCGTACATCTGGGAAAATACTGTTTTTTTCTTATCTTTTTTCTTTAATTCCTTTTTCTTTTTTTCTCCTTCCTTTTTCAAGTACAATTTAAAATTCCTTTGAATAAAATGCGTGTTCTGCTTTGATTTTAAAGAATTAAGATTTTTCTCTCATCAATGCTTTGTTTTATGATTCTGACTAATTTTTGGAATTATAACTAATTTGATACGAAATATTTCCATATTATTTTAATTTAAGTAATAATTTAAATTCTTCATATGATTTATTTAAATACTTTAACGGTATAAATAAATGAAGTTTTAGGTATAAAATGCGGCTATAAATATGACACTAATTTTCTGCTTGTACTTTAAAATACTTATCAAATAAATAAATTTGGTGCTTTTCTTTAAAATATGAAATTTTTAGAAATAAATTATCGTCACATAGTTTACTTTATTATTTATTTTATTTTATTTGTTAAGACTGCAAAATATTATTCAGTTTCTATTTGTATCAGTCGCAAAAAAAGTTTAATTTTAAATTTATTGTCATTAATAAACCTCTTATAAAAATATATTGCTTTAACTTTGAAGTCTTTGGTTTACAATTTTTGTTTGTGTACAATTATTTTTAGAAAATAAAAGAACTAAGAATCTAGTTTTTAACTATCGCATCCCTTGCAAATATTGTTGATGAGAAATTGAAAGCTCATTCAATTGCTACATATTTCAAAACTTATAAATGAGTTTTTTTTAAACTATCATGAATACCAAAAGTTGTTTATATATGATTGTTTTATATATACCTTATGCTTACAATTAAAATTTTTTGAAATATGTTTGAGAGGTGAAGTATCACGATACAATTTTACTAGGTATTTATAGTAAAATACAGATAGTTTACTAGGTATTTATAGCAAAAATGTGGATTTACCTGGGACTACATTGGTAATTTTAGTTGTGGGAAATATATGACCTATTTGTTTTCATTTCGTAATTGATGGTAATAACATAAATGAATGCTTATAATTTATAGTAATAATCAGTTATATTCTTGGGTCTGGCAGAAATTATTTTAAGCAATATACTACATTCAGCTTTAGATATTTTCGTTACACAGTAAAAATAAATCTTGATGTTGTCAAAAGCATCAATTATTAAAAAGAGTAGAATTTATAAAAAAATATTAATTCAAGTGTTTGAAAGTTGTATTCAATTTAATTTTTAAAAATAAAATGATTTGTAAAAGTAGTCTTGTTTGTCCCAAAGTCTTGTGTTTGTTTCACTTTTATTTGTTCTCAGAGTTGATGTGTAAAACATTACTATATTTTTACATGCAAACGTTATCATATTATTACAGACATTAACATGTATTATTATGCAAACATTAACATTATGCAGCATTAGTGAACATTAACATTATCATATTATGATATTATGCAGACATTACCATATGCTTCCTCGCTTTCTTCATATTAACAGCGCTGAATTTCTGTCATAGCGAATTATTTTAAATATTTCGAAAATTCTAAAATGATTAAAATTTTCTGAATGTTGTGCAGATTTAAAGAAATATTCAAATTTTCGAATACATTTTATATTCAATGTAAAAGGTTTGTTTGAAAAATGTTACATTACGTTAATGTCTGCCATGAATAAAAAAGAACAAATATTATCTAAGTGATAGTATAGTCTGATTATCAAAATATGATTAAACAACTCGTGTAATTTTTAAACTAAATATGACATACTTTTAATTGATTGACTTATAAAATTGTTATATCTTTTTGGGGGAAACTCAGATTAATGCTATTAAAAATGTATTTGGTGTATGTATTTGTTTTGCACGTTTTAGTATATAAAAAAAAACAAAAAAAAACAAATCCACATACCTCTATGTGATGCATGACAATTTTATAGTTAGAGTTACACATGCATTTTTAAGTGTAGTTTCATAATTGAAGTTATTATTATGAATTTCTGTTTAATTTTAATCTGAAATATTTTTAAAATAAGAATAAAAAAAGAATTAAACAAACTCTATTACCAGAAAAAATTAAAAACTTGTTTAAAGTGTGGCAAATTACTAGGTACTTTATTAATACACATTGCGTCAAATAGTGTTTTGGAATGACTCGGTGAAAAGTAAAATGATATTTTTTGTAAGAAAAATATTATGTTATTAACATAAAAAATCGATTATTGAACATTAAAAACAGAAAAACAGAAATAACATGGGAAGGAACATTAACGGGACCAAAATAGCGGGACCGAAATAGCAGAACCAAAAATTTTGACCTTACTACTGTGTGGATGAATGCAATCTTTATTATATCAGAAATATCTCTCAAATAACAGAAAATATAAGTTAAAATAAATTATTAAGAAACTTAAAAAATTATTATTATTAGACTTAACTTATTATTATTATTAAACTTATTAGACTTAAAAAAATTATTTTTATAATATCAAAGTATTACAAATATAAGTAAATTTAAAAGCATATACAGGTTGTCATAAAGCAGTCTCTTTTATTTATTCGTGTGTTTAGATTTATTATGAAAAGAAAAAAATACAATAACTATGCAGTTTCCGACAAGCTAAAGCTACTCTGCGCCCGAAAAATTTCACGTCATATATTTTGAGAATCACAAACAATTATTCATCTGATAATATTGACAATTAATATTCAATTAATCAACTATGTATCTATATGTTCATCAACTGTAAAATTTTTAATAATGTCTTCGTTTGCATTGTGATTTACTACCATGCTAAATTTTTTGAATGGAAGAACTTGCAAAGTTAAATTTGAGAAAATCAAGTTAAAAATGGGTTGATGCACCAAAAAGCCGTTTACGAATACCGCCTCCCGTAAAAAATATGTTTTTTTCAAAAGGTTTGGCATTTAATTCTTTAAATAATAAATCAATAATCTGTGTTATTGTCTGTTATAATAGGTATTTGAATGAAAATGCATCATGTTGAGTGTTTTTGAAATTATTATTAATATTTTCTTCCCCTAAGCTTTTCATTTCTTTACTTATGTTACTATGAGTGGTCAAACTCAGTCGATTGGAATTCTAAAAATCTACAACATAATTAATGAAAACATTTGTTTATATCGTACACTGTTGGAATTTTCATCGTAAAATCACAGTAAAATAACCGGCATCAGTCTATCTATCCAATTAACCACAAAGTTTACGGTGAAGAACCCTTTTTACCTTCACGGGTTTGAACCTTACCTTTTACCTTTAAGTTTAGGCTGTGATTGAGTTGTGTTTTATCAAATGAATTGTGAAATGTGATTTAATTAGTTCATCTGGTTCTCTCACTTGTAGTAAGAAATGGGAAATACACGACTTTTTTTGTATTAAGCGGCTTTATGGTGCTGCCATCTATGCGTGAATAAGAGTATAGTATTCTAATAGTCCAGGATCACAAAATAGGAAAAGCAGAACACTGAGATCTCTTCATGTGTTGAAGGGAATGGAGAAAATGTTGTTGTGCCAACGCAGAGACTCGAACCCCGTTCTGTTGGTCATGAGATTGAATGATTAGCTCTTTCAGCTATAATATGTACCCAGCTGAAAGGAATTAAGTGGCTTCATTAGGTGTGCCTAGTTGTTTAACCACTTAATTCCTTTCAGCTGGCCTAGTTGTTAAGTTGTTTGTTAAAAGTTTGGTTGTTTAACCGTATTAGGTGAAACCAGTTAATGCAAGATTTTCCTCAAAGTTTCAGTTTGAATGCTATCTTATTTATGGTCGTCATTTGACTGTTTTGTTGAAATGTGGTAAAATAACAATTAAATAAATTGTTATTTAACCATTTTTTTCCGTGAAATTTCAACAGTGTATAATGGTGAACAGAGGATGAAAGACTTTTTAACTGAAACTATAACTGTATTTGTTCATTTATATGCTAATGATATTACTTAAAAAACTATCGTAAATATATTTTTACGTGTTTTATTTAAGTATAAAAATAAAAATTGATCTCCAAAATAGTCTCTTTAAATTAATTTTGAAATAGGTACTACTTTTTTTTTCTCTTTTTTTAGTTTTTCATTTTAAACAGGGAATATTTTGATGTAATTCAGAAATCATATAGTCTCATTGAATCTAATTTCAAAAAATAAAATGCCAAATTATTTTTTAATTTCAATAGAAAATTATAATTTTCTGAGGAAGCATTGTAATTTATTTATTATAACAATAAAGGAAATCTTTATTACGAAGAAATTGGCCCCGATTAATTCGAATTGATTTGATTGTGAAGAGAGATCGTGATTATGGTTTTTGGAAAAAAACATAATAAAATATTTCTAATTTGCACACATGTTATACTACTATTACATCTCAAATTGCCAACATTCACTTAATGACAATTTTTCATGAATTCGATCAATAAATTAATGTTGCAATAAATTATATATATATATATATATAATACTTTTTCAAAATAAGATGATTTACAACTAATGATTTAATTAAAATGTTCACCTCAGACGGAATCATTTGCTTAGAAAATGAGGAATTATATCGTTAATTGTTGTAAATTTTGTACTCCATTTAGCAGGGAGTGCATAAATTGATAACAACCATTTAAAAATTTGTATTTACAACCTGTTATTTAAGAAATATTTCTTACTTTAACTTGTATTCATCCTTTGTTTCTAACAGCAAATTTGAATGATATTAGCGTTCAACATACTTTAAAGTTTCAAAGAGTGTTTACTACATTACATGATAGTAAAGTGCAGCTTCAACAGAAATTTCAATATATCTCCTTATTAAGTTGCATACATTTTGCACTATATTATGGGTTGAAGTAGCCATATGAAGGTTTAAATATCAAATTACCTATAAGTTATCATTAACAATGTAGCAACAATGTTATT